CTTTGGCAATAATAGGAGCTTGTATACAACTATTAACTTCACATTTGATCCATCATATCCTTTGCCTGAGATAGTATATGTGGAATGTTCACACATGCTCCCCATTGCATTAACAAATCTCTTCCCCATAGATTCACTGCTATATCAGCAACATATGGTTTTAAAGTACCAACTTGTCCTTCTGGACCAGAAATCCGAAGAATGTTAACGCTTTGGTGAAAGTCTGTCATTGTTTCAACACCAAAGACTGTAGGCACTTTCATGGTAGGCCATAATTTAGGCCAGTGTTGCCAGGAAATTATAGTTACATCTGCTCCTGTGTCTACCGATCCCTTAAAAGCTTTTCCATCTATTCTCAGTTGTAACTCAGGTCTTTTGTGTCCTATAGAGGTTTGCCAAAAAATTCCTCTTCCAGTACTTCCAAAACCTCCTACATGCTCTATAGGAGCGGCGCAGCATTTTACATATGGAAGAAGCAATAATTGGGCTATACCCTCTCCTGCTTCAATTTGATATGGTTGTAAAGTGTGCATCATAACCTGAATCTCATCTTTAGGGTCAGAGTCTATTACCCCTATTTGTACTATAATCCCTATTGAAATCAAACTACTTCTTCCCACAAACAAACCAACGGATCCCTCAAGTAGAGGCCCTTAAATCCTGGTTCTAATCTTTTGAATTCCTAAAGCAGGGAATAACATAACATTCTCTAAGGAGGGGATATCTAATGCTGCGCTACCTCTGGTGGCGGCAAAGAGATCCTGACTCTGCTTGGGCATGGTTGTAACTGTTGCTGACTAAAAATGCCTGGTAACTTCCCGTATGGTTTGTCCTTGGGCCCTGGGCTGGGCCTGAGCTGAAGTCTTCTGCCTGTATCAGAGGAGTACCATTTTTATGATATCTTGATCAGCACAGATTTGCCCAGTGCTGTCCTTTTTGATACCTTGGACAGACCTTATAGGTAAAGAATCCTCTGAAATATTAACCTTTTGTTTTATCCAGTCATCCATTCTTTGTCTTGCTAGTCTATATTCCTTTTTCTTTCTTTTTTTTTTTTTGGTTTTTCTCCGGTACCAGGAACCGAACTCACGACCTTGCGCTTGCCAGGCAAGCGCTTTGCCGCTGAGCTAAATCCCCAGCCCCTAAAGTTCTTTTTTTTTTCTTTTTTGGTACCGGGAATTGAACTTATGACCTCAGGCTTGCCAGGCAAGCGCTTATGCTGCTGAGGTACATCCCCGGCCCTTATATTCCTTTTTCATATGCCCTATTTTACTGCACTCAAAACATTTAACATTCTTTTGAGTACAAGGGCCATTTCCCTTTAAAGCAGCTGTGAGCAATCCTGCTTTAAAGGTTTCCGATCCCACACCCGGACAAGCTTCTATGTACTTGTCCAAAGTGATGTCCTGAGATTTCAAAGGCCTTAAGACTTTTTTGCATTCTGAATTAGCATTGTCATAAGATAACATTTTTAATAATAGTTCTCTTAAGGCAGGCTGCAACACTGTTTTCTGAAGTATTTCTCTTAGTCTAGCTATAAATTCTACATAGGGCTCATTAGCACCTTGAATAACCTGAGTCACGGAGGGAACAGTTTGGCCAGGAGAAGCAATCTTTTCCCATGCTTGAAGACAACACATTTTAGTTTGAGTAATTATATCATCATTATATTCTATTTGCTGATCAATCCCAAACCAATCACCAGAGCCCATGAGTTGGTCAGCAGAAATAGGAACTGGCGGGTTAGCATGGGCATTACAACAGGCCATTAGCTCTGCTTCATCTCTCCACCACGTTTTAAACTGGAGGAATTCAGCAGGACTGAGAACTGTACGTCCAATCATCTCCCAATCCCATAGAATTAAGCGGTCAGACTGAGCTAGTCTCGAAATCAACCCAAAAGTATAAGGAGAGTTCACTCCATATGAAACACAAGCCTGCTTCAACTCTTAAATAGTTTTAAAGGATAATGAAGTATGATTATACCGAGCATACCCTTGGGGATTTTCCTGATCTCCTGGTAGTTGAGTAACTGTAACTGGGTACATAGCAAAAGCCTTACAAGCATCCAAATCTCCTTCCTGTCTGGCTTCAGCAAAAGCCTTCATAACTGTAGTCATACGTAATGGTCTTTGAACAGTTAACTGAGGTGGGTCCCTAAAAGGGTTAAACTTATCATATATTGGGGCTGAAGGCTGCACCGGATATGCTTGAGAGGCCAAAGAACCATATATCGGGGCTGAGGGTTGTGCTGCATATGCTTGAGAGACCAAAGAAGGAGGTGGAGGAAAATCCAATTTCCCCTTATAGTCAGTATTAGATCCAAAAGATCCATACCTTCCTTCCTCCTCTGCAGTTGGTCCCTGTTCCTGGAATGATCAAGTTTCCTCATTTCCTACCTCCTGTAAAATCTCTTGTTCTGGTTCACATTTTCTCTGAAACAGAAAATTTCCCATAACCCTGATGAACAGTCCTGGAGACCAGGCCTCCCTCCCCTTTGACTCTTTCTGGTCCATCAAGCACTGACTTAATTTTTTACCCTAGTCTCAAAGACTTCCATTCGTACTCAAGTCCCTGTTCCTGGCGCCAATATGTTGGTATTAGCTATAGTGACAGGTCCCAGGAACGAGGTGCCTGAGGATGAATAAGAAAAAAATAAAAGAGACAAGAAAAACAAGAGAGTTAAAAATCTAGGATCAGGGAGCTTACAGTCTCTTGGACTGCAATGGCCCTGATCACTCATCTCAATCACCTTTTATTAGAACAAATAACCTAACTAAAACCAACAGGAGAAATTCATCATCCCTTTCCAATTCTGCCTCTCAGCTGATGGTTACAATCCTCAGGCAAGCCTCCCATACCCAGCACCACATTCACTCAGTTCAGCTGGGGGTCATAAGCTGACCATCAGTAATCAACCCATTAGCAATCACAGTCCTTTCCCCACAACTTTTAATAGATGCTTAATCAAAATTTAATTAGAAAGCTATTCTGTCAAGAAAAAATGCAACAATACATTTCAGTGTCATTTACAAGTGACTTTTGGTTCCCTGTATCTTTGCATTAGTGTGTATGGAAGACAATAGTTCCATCCTCATTTTGACCTTGATTACCTAGAAAATAGCAGAGGAAAGGTTCAGGGGAGGAAGCAGAATTACCAGTGCAATTGTCTTTAATTCTCTACTGTGTTATAGCGATAACTTTACTTTCTACTGATGTAATAGATATATTTTTAGATGAAATTTCTTATTAGGGGCTTCTGAATTGGGTACTAGGGTGTATTAGCCAGTGCTTACTAGAGAAGCAGATTTAATGCAAGACATACAAAGATATTGTAGTAACCGTGGTAGCACTTACCTGTAATCCCAGCACTCAGGAGGCTGAGGTAGGAGGATCGTTGTGAGTTCAAGACCAGCCTGGGCTACAAAGTGAGCTCACGGCTGGCCTGAACTGCACAGCAAGACCCTGTCTCAAAGAGACAAAAAAACATTTAGAAAAAACAAATATATTGTAGCAGAAAATGCCCCCCAGTATACTTCAGTTTGTTAGTTTCCCAGGTAACAGTTCTTGTTCCAGTTCTGGTTGCTGCTGTCTCTTAGAAACAGCTGGTCACTATGATGCATAGCTAGTTACTATGATGCACATTGTATAAACAAACCCCAAACTGACAAGCCATTCTGCCACTGTACTTCCTGCTTGCTTATCCTATATAAGCCCTAGACCACCAGAGATCAGGACCTGATATTCTGGGAGTGATCCCAATCAGTGCCTGCCCATGTAAATAAATCTGCCTGCAAATCCTGGGTGTTGTTTCAGTGCTCCTGCTCACCATTGCAATATAAGAATTTACAAAATTGGCTTACAGTGGCTGCCCACTGACTCAGGTGTAGAAAATGCCAAGTCTGTGCACTGAAGATCTGAAAGATCCGGTCAAAGGCCTGGAGCCCAATGTAGTGTCCTGTGTGAGTCTGTATTGGGAGACTGAAGGGTCTTTTATGGAAGTCTGAAGGGTCTGTCCCGGAGGCTGGGATCTGCACTGGAAGCCAGGAGATGATGTCCAAGGTGAGGGTGAAGACTGGTGCTCCTCAAAAGAAATAGAAGCGAGCCTTCCCCCCGCAGTTCCCTTTTATTCCATTCAGGCAGTGAGCCTACTGCTTGGTGCCACTCACACCCAGGGTGGGCCTTCTGTCTTCAGTAAATCACTTCAGCCACCCCCAGAACTACGCTGATCCCATCCAGTTGGGCGTTTCTTACTCAAGTTGACACAATCAGTTAACAGTCACTTAGGGTTTCAGTGAAAGGGGGATTCTCACATCAAAGAAACTTTAGCTTGAGTTTAAGGATCGATAGTTACTTCCCCTCCTCCCAAGACAAAAATCTTTACTAGGACTCAAATAGGCACTGATGCTGACCAAACTCGTTAGGTCACCCGCAGACCTGGGGCTCCCAAAAGGGCGGTACTCACCTCTAGAGGGCACTGTGGGACTGTGTGGAGCTCTGAGTTTTCAGCAGCAATTTAGTGAACCTGGGCAGAGGTCCTGGGCATCACGTAAAGCCCAGAACATTCCGGGCAGCAAAGAATTGTACACTTATGGCAGAGCTCTTGAATATCCCCTGTGTGACATGTCTGTGAAGGGGCAAACAGTTGTACTTAATTATCTATCCCTATAGCCCATTTTGCATAGGAATAGAAAGTATTGTTACACATTTTAATAAACATTACATTTTCTTTAAATTGGAGATGAAGTCCTATGACAATAAACAATTCAAAAAATCCTTGAGTTTTGTCCAGCTTTGTGTCATATACGTACCTTAGCGGTTACATATTTCTAGTATTTATTACTAATGACTTGCTATTTAAAAGAAATCTAGCAACTAGGCTGGAAGCCATTGGCAAGTGCGGGGCCTGCTCAGGGCTTTTAGGAGGTGCTGGGTGGGCCAAGGCCCCAAGAACCTGAGCTGTGATCACCCCACCTGCTTGTGTTTCCCCCACCTGCCAGACGGGATCTCCACCTTCAAGATCATCACCTGGACCAGAGGATTACAACTCACTCACCACATCCAGCTTCACCTAGAGGCTTCCCAGGTACAAGAAGACTGCCACAGAGCTGGAAGATGCTCTGGACCAAGCTAGAACAGCCCTACAGAAAATGTAGGAACTGCTTCTTTTTAAAAAGACTGCTTTTTTCTTAATACATCTGTAAAGGTTTTTAATTTGTCTCATCTCTGGTCAAGTTGAGATTTTTAAGAATATCATTTTTAATTTGTAATAAAACTTTAAACTTGATTTTTTTTTTCAAAAAGTCAAAAAAGTGCAAGCACCTGTTAAGAAAAATTTTAATAAAAAAAGAAAGTTTACCCAGACCTCAGACCCTCTGCCACTCCTTCCTTGAATAACTGTTTAAAGCTATCTTTCAAAGTTTCCAGATATATGAACTTTTTTCCTTCATATCTTCCATGATTGATTTCCAATCCAATCGCATTTGTGGTCAAACAGTGAGGCTGCATGACACCAATCACTTGAAACTTTTCAGCTACCTTTATGACCTTGCCCTGGCAAGTGTCATAAATGTTTTACATGGCTTCAAAAGCATTCTGCTCTCCAGTGCTGGGCGCAGTGGTCCATGCCTACCCATCAGCTCGGGCTCATTCGCTGTGCTGTCACTTCTTCTACACCCCTGCCACAATGTTTTTCCTACCTGATATAGTAACAGCTGAGGCAAGAGTGGTACAATATCACAGCTTATTTGTTCATTTCTCATAATTCTGTGACGTTCTGCTTTACGCATTTTGGAACCACGATTTAGCTGTATGTCAGTTCAGAGCTGTTATCTTTTTCTAGTGAAATAAACATTTTAAACTCGTAGCAATTTCACTTGTAGTAATGGTATTTGCTTTAAAGATTATTTTATTATTATAAATGTGGCTTTGTCAGGATTGTTTAAAGCTATTTTTCAAAGTTTCCAGATATATGCACTTTTTTCCTTTATATCTTCCATTATTAATTTCCAATCCACTTGCATTTGTGGTCAAACAGTGGAGGCTGATGACACCAATCACTTGAAACTTTTCAGCTACCTTTATGACCTTTTTACTCAGCAGCTTTTAACTCGGGGCTAGAAAGAAAATCTGAAGGAGATAGATAGATAGATAGATAGATAGATAGATAGATAGATAGATAGATAAGCTCAGGTTCATTCACTAGGAATGTGAACTAAACTTAGAACACTCCGAGCATTTTGAACTCTGTTAACCAGCCTCACTTTTGCAGAACGTTCCCCATAGCAGCAGGGAGAACACCGCATAAGATAACCCCTTTTGGGCCACGAACCAGGATTCCTCTTTGGAAGGACTTAAGTCATAAAATCTTTTCTCAATCCACACTAGAATGAAACTAGAAATCAATAAGCAATAAGGATGACTCTGTCCCCAGCTGCCCCACCAGGGTGCTGGCTGAAGTCCGCACCTGGGTTCCCAGGCCAGGTGTGCCGGCCCTTCGCCCCGCCCACCGCACGCTATTGGCGCTCACTCCGCCTGGTCTGGTCCAGTCCCGCCCGCTGAAGATCTTGCCCCGCCTTCCCGCTCTTCCCTCTCATTGGCCGAGGGACCCCGTCAGCGGTCACCCTAGCCTCGTTTCCCGGCTTCCTGCTGCCGCACATCCTGCTTTCACGAGATGAGGTGCGGGCCCGGGATCTGCGCCCGGTGAGCCTGGTGCTCGGCGTGGCTTTGACCCCACTGGGGGTGGTAGCGCCTACCCAGCTGCAGCTTCGGCGTCCCGACCCGGCGAGCCAGAAGACGCCGGAGCTGGAGGGCGGAGGGCGCGGGGCGCGGGGCGCTGGGCAGCAGGCAAGGGAGGGAGACGCTAGTGCAGGGCCGCGTCTGCCAACCCCGCGCGCCTCCCTCCTAGTCCGCTTCCGCTCTGTCCTCGCCCGGTCCCCGGCGGGTAGTCCAGGCTGGGCCACCAGCTCCGCAGCTCCCAGGAGGGGCTGACTTGGGTTACTGGGGGAGATAAACGCTGGCTCCTGAACTGAAACTTCGCAGCTAAGTGAGGACGCAGAGGTTTGTCCCCCAGGATCGGGGCCCAGGCTGCGTGGCTGGGACGCCGGCCTATGAACGCGCTCGAATGCGGCTGTCGAGGCAGCATTTGCTGTCGGTCCCCTTCACTCCCAGCAGCCCCTGTGCTCTCCCCGCTGCTGCGTGGGCCGCGGTGTCTCGGCGGAGGCAGGGCCACCGTGCACCGGGGTCTTGTGTGTGTCAGAACACCCGGTCCCCACTGTGGCCGGGATGGAGGTGGCCTGCAGGAGCAGCAGCCCTGGAGGGAGGGTGGTGACTCCTTGAGATTGACCAGGAGGAGTCTGGCAGGCTGGCAGCTCCACAGAGCCCCACTTCGAGGGGCGCCTCCCTTGGTTTAATGCTCTGCTGCCCTAGTCTTCAAGTTCTTAATTTTTTTTTTTTTTTTTTTTTTTTTTTGGTACCGGGAATCAAAATCATGACTTTGCGCTTACCAGGCAGGTGTTTATGCCAATGAGCTGTATTCCCCAGCCCAAGTTCTTAATTTTTTAACAGAAAAGAGCTATGTATTTTCACTTCATACAGACCTCAAAAATTTTGTAGTTGGTCCTGGGAAAGAAGAGGGACCCCGTGAGCAGTAGTTCCAGGATTTGGTTTTTTTTTTTTTGGTTTTTCTCTGGTACCGGGAACAGAACTCAAGACCTTGCACTTGCCAGGCAGGCGCTTTGCCACTGAGCTAAATCCCCAGCCCCAGTTCCAGGATTTGATGCACATCAGTATTACTCTGGGTGCTTAACATTATCATTGATGATAATAGCAACCCTCTGGAAAATACTAGCTCTGGAGTAAGCCTTGAGAAGTGAATTTTCCCAGGGGACCCCTACCTGCTCCCTCAGTTGATTCTAGAAGGGCTGAAGCATTACTTAGGAACCATCTTGATTGGCCATTGCTCTGATTCTTCCAAGAAGGAAACAGGCCCAGAGATCAGAAGGCTCTTACCCACGTCACATACTAGGTTAGTAGCAGAGTGTGGGTCCTAGAATCTGGGTCCTGGACCTTGCCCATGTGTCCTGGCAAATCCTCTGTGAATGTCAGGGGGCAACAGGGACCTCACTAGTATCTCTCCTCAGTCCTGGCTCTACCTCACCACCCTGAAAAGACACTGATTGGCTAGAAATCCTTGCAGCACCAATGACAGATGGATTCTGACTGTTTGGATCTGTGGCTCATGGCTTCCATAGGATTAGATTAGAGTTAGGGTTATGGTTAGGGAGAGTTAGGTTAGGGTTATTGGTCCCTGATCCTCCCCTTGTATGGAGAAGAGGGGTTGCTCTCCCCTTAGAAGCTTCCTGCCTTACTGCCTGGCATTTGGCTGTGGCACCTTCCTGAACCTGTTTGCATATTTCTTAAGACTTGTGCCCAAGGTGGGAGAGTTGCTCAGGGGGATAGTGCTTCTGGGTGCAAATGAGCTTATGACTGCAGCCCCCTGCAAATAGGAAAGAGATCAACCCCATCTCTGTTGTCTCCTATCCTACCCCAGATCCTAAAAAGCCAGGGGAGCAGGCCATTCTTAGGGGATTCACTCTGCTTCCCAAGGGTCCATACAGAGATAGGAAACTTCATGAGCTAGAGACAGAGGGTTCTAGAAATAGGAAAGAAGTGGGTTCTCAGCAAGATCCTAAGTTTTTGCCTTTATCCTTGCGCTGACTTAGCTGAATGGCTGAGCAAGTTTGTCTAACCTCTTTGTGTCTGGTTTCTCCTCTCGTAGTAGACTGGCCAGTCACTCCCTTGCCTTGCACTTACCATGGCTGGGTAGATGAAGTGACTCGGTGGGTGAGGAGTTCCAGTCCACTCACAGTCAGCTCCCTTTGTTCCAGCCACACCAGCTTCCTTGTGCCCCTGTCCACAACACTCTTCCTCTGCATGGCTCAGTCCTACATCTCCTTAGGGCAGCGCTAGTCCAGCAACTTCTCCATGAAGCTTTTTCTAGCCCTAACCTAAGACCACAGCTCCCTCCTTTCCTTATTTATCACAGTCTGACATTTATTTTACTGGTTTACCTTGAATCTGTTTCCTCCAGTGGGAATGAAAACACCACAAGAACATACTTTTTGTCTTTTAAATTCATTGTTCTATTCTCAGGCCAAAACTAGTGACTGGTATGCAATAGATACTCAAATAGTTGATCATGAAAGCGGTAGTCATTCAAGTTGGAGTCAGACTGCTGTCTCAACTCAATAAATTCACCAGCTGTGTGATGCCAGTCAAGTTATTTAACCTCTTTGAACTTTGGCTTCTTTGTCAGTAAAACAGGCACAATACAAGACTCCTTTCAATGAGTTGTGAGAACTACAAATGCATACAATGCCTGCCTTAGGGGCTGGGGATTTAGCTCAGTGGCAAAAGCGCCTGCCTGGCAAGCGCAAGGTCATGAGTTCGGTTCCCGGTACCGGAGAAAAACCAAAAAGAAAAAAAAAAAAAAAAAAAAAAAAAACAATGCCTGCCTTAGGGGCTGGCAAGAGGATATAACATGCCTACGTTGGTAACCACAAATGATTAGGAATGCAGTGTTGGAAATGCAGACTTTCTCAAATAAGAAAGTAACCCCTGCTTGGTTGGGTTCAGAACAGTAGTCTGGGTGCCCTGAGTAGGAGCTGCTGAGCTTCTGATGGTGCAGGCCCTGCTCTGGCTGAAGTTCTGAGAAGCCACAGGGTTGGCTAAGCAGATGCTGCTTGAAGCCCCCAGGGAGAAACTGCCCCGGGTGTGCTGGGACAGGATGGAGCTTCAGGCCAGCTGGCCATGTGGAGGTAAGGCTGGAGCTGTTGTCTAGTGACTGGTGAGGGGGGCAGCTTTCCGATGCTTTGCAGTGACAGCCTGGCAGGAGCCAGTGGGCACTGAGGAAGTCGGCAAGAGTGGGGCAGAGCTGATGAGTGGTGGCTCTAGGATGTCAGAGAATGTCCAGTAACAACCAAGGTGGGTGAGGGAAGCTGCACTCAGAGTTTGAAGGCCACCACTGCCCTGCTGGGTGTGTACCTCAGTTAACCATGCTGGGAACCTGCCTAAGCACAGTGATGTTCCTGTGCTGCCTGCTCCCCGTGGCCCCAACTTGAACGAACATGCTTGGGGCAGTACTCTGGCCTGGTGATGTCACACTGCTTTCCCTCAGGTTCTCCAGTGGTGTCCTGCAGATGCCAGCTGATGGCAGTGGAACCCTACAGGAAGTAGGAGGGCACTGATGGGCAGAGGAAACCTCAAGCATCTCCCCAGCCTCAGGGCTGCGGGATTTCCCAAGCATTATCCTCACAAATTTATCATTTTCCTCACCCAGCAGATATGGAATACCTGTAACACATGGCACTCAGAGAACGTAGTGTACTCCATTATAACTTAGATAAGCACAGGCAGGCATGGGGTGCATCAGGAGGGCTTCCTGCAGGAGCTGCCATCTGAGCAGAGCCTTAGAGCACAGATGAGCTTCGAGGCAGATGAAGAAGCATCCGGACAGAGAAGCCAGTGAAAAGTGGGCCTTTGCAGAGATGAGGAGGAAACGTGGATAGGTCTTCCTGGCTGGACGTCACCCTCAAGGAGCAATGGCTTCGCTCCTTGAGAGGCCATTTTAGACATAGCCTGTTGCATGTGTGAAACATCCAAGTGGCAAGGCTGGCAGGGAGTGGGCAGGGGAACAGTGTTGCAGATGCACATTTGGGGGCATCCATGGCCCCGCAGGAGAGTTGAGGGCATGAAGGCCCCCTGGGGTGGGGGTAGACTCAGGAAAGTGCCCAAAGGGGGAAAGGGCCTTGCCTCAGTCCTGCAGCCACTCAGTGGCAGAGCACCCCCAGCATCTCTTTCTGCC